CCTAGACCTGACTATTGTTTTGTTTGTGCAACTACACTTCTCCAAAAAAAGGCAATCCCTACTGGTAATAAATGCGACACACATCTGATGATGCATTTTTTTTTGAATGTAAATATTTTATACAGGTAGTGCATATAATTATGTACTATTCTTGTCAGTTACAGCCAAATCCGTCGAGAAATGCTTATGCAACGCCCTATGGTACTGTTCAAACAGTTAATCAAGTTGTCTGCAATATAGAAGGCTTGTGCTCGATTAAAACAGGCTTGCAAAATTGAATGTCAAAGGCAAGAGTCGCCAGAACGACCCAACTCTCCACATCAACGGCGGTTGATCCTGGCAAATTTCAAGATTTGGTCCAAAATGTTTGCGAGACAGTAAATGTCTTGCGATTTATTTTTTTGCTTCAAGTAACCGCCATAGGAATAGTGCCTGCTCTCTCTAACCTAAAATTCTAGAATCTAGACTCTAAAGGATTATGCATCAAAGACATCATCCCAGACTTGCACCTGTACATAATCTCTCCATGTCCTTACCCTACGCCCTAGACAATTTCCAAGCTGAACGGCGTCTTCAGTGTAGTCTAAAAAGACGCATCAGCATATTCGGCGTTTGCACAAGAAGAAAAGCCTACACCCAAACTCTCCAATGGCAGCGAATAGCTCGTCGAAGGCCACGGCCAGATGAACTGGCATACCAGCGGCGGTCATCCCAGCTACAAAGGCCGCGGATGTGATTTGATTGAAGACAACCTTCTTGCCTGTCGCTGAGAAACACAAAAGGTGAGGAAACCAAACGGAAAGGAAGCTAGTTATCTCCACTCACCCTCAGAAAGCTGTCGGACCTGGTCCTCGCTGCTCAGCATCTCTGCAAACACCGCCCACGTCTGCCTATCAGGGAAGACGGTCGCTTCGATTGCCCTGCGCACAAAGAGCCCATAGTCATGGTGGACATCGATGAGTGGTATTGGCGCCGACGGTGCGATGGGGAGGCTCACTGCCCAGACATCTGGCGCGACCTTCCGCGGGCGCATTATCGTACGCATATTGCTCGCATAGCCTCCTGCTTGGAGGACAACGAAGGGGACGCCCGATGCCCGGCCGTATTCCGACACGCGAACCTTGCTTTCGAAATGGCAAACTTGTGTGTACTTGCCGTGCGACAGAGAGGCCATGCTGGGAAGACCTGACCAGACGATGCCCTTGACTCCGGCAGCCTTCGCTGCGTCGATCATGAGTTCGCCTTCCGCCGTTTCCTGTGAAAGTGTCAACAGTTGTCTGCCGCAAAAGATTACAACTCACCCGACCCGGATCGAAGTGCTCCGCCCAATTGGTGAGCAACTAGCAAGACATATGTAAGTACACTTTGCCAGAGGAAAAAGTAGCTGTTAGTACAAAGACATAGGCAGCGCCTTCAAAGGCCGCAAAGACCGCCTCCTTGTTGTTAGCTGTCAAAGACAGGCCGACGGCTTGGACGCCACGCTCGGAGAGCACGATAGCGGAGGGTTTGGCGGTGTTGCGAGTGAATGTGCGAATGCGGTATGACTTGTCGGATTCCGAAAGGGCAAGCACAACACTGCCGCCTTGAGTCCCGGTCCCACCCACGACCACAACAAGTGGAGAGTTGGTGTCTTTCACGATGGTCATTGGCGGAAAGGTAAGCTGAGCGATAACACATACCCGTCTTCTTATATTTCGGCGTTCATCGCCCCGTAACAGCGCAATGGAGCTTCCACATGAGGAGCGCGAGCCCAAACTGATAGTTGTCGAAGACGATTGTCGTGGGGTTTATATCGGATATGGTGATGGAATCCTCTCCGGCGCCGCAGGTTGTTCCCTCGTTCGGAGGGCACGAGCCAAAAAGGGTGGGGGTATCCCGTTATAGAGCGGATGCCAATTGAATACCGGCGCAAAGTCACAGAGCCGGTATACAGAAGGAATGTCGAGTTTGCGCGGTACATAAGTCGTATTGTGCAATTGAGGTGGGTCTATTCATTCGGAGCTCATTCCCGAAGTCGTCCTCGCAGCAACCGGACCCGAGTTGTGCCGTGGTTCGTTGGGAAAGACAGGCAGAGAAGAGAAAGTATGACCACGATATTGACGCCAAGTTGGCATAGCGATGATCTAGCGGTTCGAGATGGAGAAGGGCACACCAAAAATAGACCAGTGAAGCACATACCGAGAGTCGTATGCCACTGGCATAAAAATAGCCCAGCAAAATCACCGAGGGATTCCATTCAGTGAGAATGCGCCATCTGGTTCTTCGTTTTTGCCATGAGGATTGTGCCAGTGCGTGAAACGATGCGACCGATATGAGCGTCGCTGCAGACCACACGGGAGAACCACATCGTTGGTTTCATGCAAGAGGAAGAGCCCAAGACGACGGACTCGGATTTGGAACAAGGAATTTGACTTAGATAAAATCGACTGGGAAGATGGGCGTGGAACACGTTGATAAGAAATAGAGATGAGCTGACGGTAGAGCGTTGGGGGCGAGTGTTATCGGTTGTGCAAGCCTAAGACCAGGTCATTCAGCTTGCATGTCGGAGAAGACAGAAAACAGGCACGCACCTGCGGTAGACCAGCGCTCCAGGTTCTTTCTCTTCTCCCTCGGTTGGGCGTTGCTAACTCAGAGGCGATTGAGAGTGTGGGAGGGAAAGCCTCGGATAACTTGGTGGGAGAAGGCAAATGATTCTCCGACCATTGCGTGAGGAGGTTACTCGGAGTCTTGATTCGAAGAACTAACCAAAATGCAAGTATTCCACTCTGAAGCAAGGCAGACGGGGCTCGCTATCCGTTGTGCGAGCTGTAAGCATCGTTGGTGGTCAGAAAAAGAAATGATGCGCCGTGCCAATTCCCGATCACACCGTGCTTTGCTGACTACCTCGACGAGTCGACAACTCAGCCCACTTATCGCTGCCTGCGGACATCTCTCAAACATGTTCCGGTTACCCGTCTCTCATCCAGTCTCATCGGGCATTACACAGCGGGCGGAGAGTGACGCGTCATCATCATCGGCTTTGGCCTCGATTTGAAAACGAATCCTACGTATACCCTCCGGCACGACGACTCATTGCACACTACGAGGAGGGTGGAAGGCGCGGGCGCCACCAGCGGCGCCGTCAACGCGTGTACTCGTGGTTAGTAGTCTGACGTTTTGCTTATAAAAAGCCAGCTTACTGAGCCTTACAGAGCCACCGATATCCTGACCATGACCATCACCAAGGACCCTGCTGCCCCTCTTGTCGCTGTTGTAGGCGCTACTGGGACCCAAGGCGGCAGCGTTGTCCTCGCCCTCACCGAATCCGACAAACCATATCGAATTCGCGCCTTCACCCGCGATGTCTCAAAACCTGCAGCGAAAGCATTGGCGGAGAAGGGCCTCGAGGTGGTCGCGGTGACGTTGTCGGTGGAGAATAGAGGAGCCGTATTCAAGGCGTTTGAAGGGGCGGACTATGCTTTCGTGTGTGCTACTTTCTCTCAGTCAGATTCGTCCTTATGCGTCCCGTAGCTTGTCACCAACTGGGCGGAACACGGAGACCCACCACGAGTGAGTCATTACGGTCCTTGATTCATTGCCTCAACTCTCTCTCAAGGAAACCATCGAAGGCAAGCTTATGATCGACGCTGCAAAAGCCGCAGGTCTCAAGGGCATCGTCTGGTCCGGGCTGCCTAGCATCGACGCTCTGTCCGGCGGCAAATACAAGAACGTGGGCCACTTCGAAAGCAAAGCACGCGTCTCCGACTACGGCCGCGCTTCTGGGGTCCCTTTTGTCGACATCCAGGCGGGCGGGTACGCGAGCAACATGCGCACCTTCATGCGGCCAGTCAAAGTCTCCGAGGACACTTGGGCCGAGTCTGCGCGAGCCTGAAGCGTAATGTGTCCACGCACGCGCCGCGTCCTAAGCCGCCGCCGCCTCGCACAACGCGCTGCGGCCACGCGGGTTCCTGTCCGCCGCCGCCGCACGGCGGACGTCCTCCTGCTCCACCACGTCCTCTTCCGAACGAGTACAACGTCTCTGCGGATACATTCAAAATATATACTCGCAAACGACTTCGTGCAAACCCTGCCGCTCCCCTCGCCCAGAACCGCTCCCGCGCCAGCGACGCCATCGTTAGAGCCACAGCGCGAGTACATAGACTACTGGCTGTCAGGGATGGATGACGCCGCGCCGACGACGACGAACCTCAGAGCAGTCTAGAGCCGGATACTCCGTCATCACCATGCTCCTCCTCTGTCAATGGCTCACAACACAGTCGTCGTCCCAGACGGCATAGAATGCAGCGGCGCAAATGCCCTCGTCCTCGCGCTGCAATGTCCTCCGAGAGAGGAACGCCCAAGAGGCGAGGGTTCTGACTTGCGAATAGGGAAAGGGTTGCGGAAGGGTTGGACAACAACGTCGCTCCCCTCCGCGCCGATATTCGCCCTAGCAGCAACTTCAGCACCCCGCCAGTCGCTATAACAACTTCAATACGCACCACTAAGCTTCCCCGCCCGCTCTGTTCCGGCTGCCGAGAACGCACACACAGAAGCATGCCTAGCATGCGCAGATGAGCACACGCCCGTCGATTCTGAGGAGGAAAACGCACAGTTTCCGGAGGTTTCCCTCCACCCGCGCCGCCCCACTGGCAGCGTGCCTGGCGGTCGTCCGTCTCGTCGCCGACCAGCACGCATGCCCAGCTGCGAGGATGGATATCCGGGCCGCGCTGCGCTCGCAGTAGCTCGAGCGACAGCCCGACAACGCCTGCGAAGGAACGGCAAAGCGTCAGGTAACTGGGACGGTAACTACAAGCCCACTGTCGCGCACCGAGCAGACGAGCCAGCCAGCGCCCATCTCTCATTAGTCCCCCTCCCCGCTTCTTCCCGCCCATCTCCGTTCGCATCCTACACACGACGTTGACGCGGAGACCGTTCCAACGTGCTTTCCCTCCCCCCGCGCCGTCCTCCGCCCCCGCCAGCTGGTACCCTTGCGGTCGCGTTGCCGCGCAACGTTGGGGTCGTTATTGGCCAGCAGCAGCGAGCCATTTCGACGCCGAGGGGGACGCGGGCATGCGCGCCGTTGGGCTCGAGGAGCAACATTCCTCTGTAAAGGGTGAAAGGTCAGAAAACGGGACGACAAACGAGCACGCTGTCGCGCACCTAGCAGACCAAGAGCCCATCCTTCCCGCATGCTCCGTCCCCGCTTCCTCCCTCCTATCTCAGTTCGCATCCTCCGCCGACAAGCGCTGGAGGCAGGTATCGTCGCGCGCGACTGACCTTTTGAATCTAACCCAGAAAGCTCAGTCAAGTCCACGCAGTCGGCCTCGGCAACGCACCAGACGGCCCACGGAGGTTGAACGCGCCACGCACGGGCCTCGACACGTCGCCGCATCGACGCCGGGAGGGAGGCGAGCCCATCGGCCCCGCCCCATCCGTGGTGGAAGAGCGGAAGAAGGAGCGATGACGCGCGTCACGCGTTCCCGCCGATCGATCGATCAGAACGCGTGGCGCTCCTTCTTCGTCTCGCCCGCCATGTGCCTGCGGCGCCCGAGCGCGCCTGCTGCGAGGGCGGGACAGACTGCTGCGCGGAACGACCGTGTGGACGAGGAGGATTACGGGGTCCGGACTCCGGGGTGGCGCGGCGCGTGACCGTCGGCCGGCCAGTCTTCAAACCCTTCCACCACTCTGGCTTGCCGCTGGCGCAGCCCGGTCTTCCGCGGGTTATGTATGCAGCGCACACGACGCACACGGACAGCCAGGTGCGCTGTCGTGTCCCCTACCTTGTATCTCTAACGCCGAGTTGCTGCAGTTTCCCCGTCAAGGGCTCCAGTCCCGCCCAGCAGGAAAGCCGCCTGCGTTTCTGCCTCAGCTCGCTCGCGAGTAGTGATCAGCGCACTCCCGGTAGAGAGGGGTCGCGCTAGAGACGCAGTTTTTGACTATACCGGTGCGTCAAATTGTGCTCTTGTCGGCTTCCCATTTCTTATTCCTACAGTACCACAGGCAATACGGTGGCTCCGGCGACGAGGGGCCCGGCAGTCATCGACTTTCAGAACTCTGTACCGCTTGTACACACACATCCGCTGCTCGATAACGACAACCCGCTAACTCGACTCTCCACGAATCATTGGGGACCTGAAGGGAGAAGCAGGGCAGAGTGGTGCCGCGGCATATAGAAAAACCATCCCAACGGGAGCAAAGCGTACATCCTCCGCCTTAAATTTTGACAGCAATGCTGATACCTACCTTCAAGTCATTCGTCGTCGCGCTTGCTGCTCAGCCTGAGTGCGATCCGGACGGGGGGCCTGATTTCGGACTACGGCAACGAGACGTGTGGTTCCGAGTCGCTGGGTGGAGGAGATCCAGACGGCAATATCAGAAGCGCGGGAGTCCCCACTGGCAAGGACGCTGATGGGATGCCGCCAGGCCCGTCCAAGCTCGCTCTCGTCCCAACACCCTCGCAGAGTCAGACCAAGGCAATATCATTTCATTTCGAGTACTTCCAAGAACTACCCGTGCGAAATTGGCATAAGTAATGCTAGTCATACCACTCTTTCTCCTCAGACTTTGCGGGCGATTGCGCTCTAGCAGGAGCTGCCGCTGGACCAAATATGACGTCCTGGAGCACCGCCGCGGACGCTGACGAGCCACGTTCAGCACAGAAGTACAGCAGCCTCCGTGTCATCGACTCGCGCACGGCTGGCGTGTGCAAGTTTGCGCGGAGAAAAGCGACTTGCATTGTCTTGACCTCGTCGAATCTGCAGTGCTCGTCAGTTGGAGGCAGCAGAAGAGAAGCGGCAAGGCGGACATGGCAGTGAAGTTGGAGAACACTTCGTGCACAATGGTGTCGACCGAGAGCCGCGCGCGGATCGCCTCGAACGCGAGCAGCTTGAGTTCCGCGAGGCCGTGCTGTTGTTGGATCCTCAGCAGACGTCATTAGACTGAACGCTGCCTCACCTTGTCTGCGAGTTTGTACATCGACTTCGGCGAGCATTCCGGTGCCTCATCTTCTCTTGGCTGCCTCAGGTCGAAACGCGAAGCCCTCCCGCCGACCTCACGGAAATGCACCTTGCCTGTGTAGAGGTAGTATATCAACGCTTTCCAACTATGTGCCGCTGTTAATTCGACGAGCTTTGATATAAAGACGACTCACGTGTTGTAAGCATGTCCCTTGATGACAACGCGATGGCCGCGACGCCCCTGGAGCTCTTGTTGAACAATGACATCAGGCGATGTCGAGCGCTGTATGCTCGGTCCAGCGACGGGCTGCTCTTTCTCATCCGGTTCTACTTGTGTTTCGTCTGAGTAATGGGAGAGAGGACGACGGCTCGCTTACCTGATTCCTGGCCGTGAATATCCGTGTCGCCATCGAATTCCTCGCCGTCCTCGAGGTCGCTGTCGGACATATAGTCGTACCCGTCGAACGCATCCTCGGGAGCGTGGTCATTCGTGATATCCGTCTGCCCCGACTCAGAGAATCCGCTGAACATGTCGTCAAGATCTAGACATTCAACTCCATGAGCACAAAAAAAAACAGATGAGCGAACAAGTACCTTCATCGAACTGTTTCGAAGTCCCGCGCATGAGCCTGAGATTCCCGTACAGCGGACGGGGATCATAGATGTAGCCGTTCCGGGCGCGTGAATATGCCCAGAACTTGACATCGATGAGCTCGCCGCCATGGATCGTGTCGACGAGAGAGGCGCGGACGCGTGTTGGGAGGGGCTCGTCCGAGAATGGGAGGCGGGTCTGGATGGTGACAGGCTTGGGAGGAGTGAGGGCGAAGGTGGCCTCAAAGGAGATGGTAAACTTGAAGATGGGAGGCTTTGTTATGGGCGTAGAGCTTTTAAAGCGGCCTTTTGTCTTCTTGCCACTGTCACGGGTCCACGCGCCGATACGCGCCGAATTGTGAGTGTTTTGAGGAGGCTCTGAAAATGGGGACTCGGATACGGAGCAACTCGAGGGGGAGGTGGAAGGAGAACGTCCCCAAAGAGTAATCCAAGCCATAGTCCGTCAATCCCGTCGTTACGACAGTGCACGATACGCGTCCATATTCCGCCTTAGCGACCAGGTGCGGGTCGAAGTAAACAGCGATGGGGCCATTCGAGCTGTCCCACTTGAATCGCCAGCCCCAGCCGCAGACATCGGTTGTCCCAGTGAGCGAGGAGTCCTTGTCGAAGCTGACACGGAAAGAGGATTCGACGCCGTTGGCCGTCCAGGTATCGGGGGAGTCTCTGACGAGCGCCATCGATGAGGGCAGGAGATAAGCGGCGTATGTGAGTGGCCACCTCGTGTATGCAGCATGTCTGTCTGTGGATGCAGCGTGTTTGGTTGTTTTGCTCGGCCCGGAAGTGGGAGGAAAGAGAGGAATCCGTTGTGACGTCACAGCCACTCTTCTTCGTCTTCTCCGCTATGTCCATCCTCCCCCATCCCATCTCTCTCAACTCGGACACAACGAACGCGAACGTCTGAGGCGCCCCATAAGCGGAAATGCAGCACTTGTTTATTTGGTGCGCGTGAATACTTCCACTTACAAAACTCCTGCTGATTCGCTGGACCAGCCATCTTGACTCCATTATCCGCAAGCTCGCACACCATACCGGTCTACTGGAGGGAAGGAAAACACCGTGGTTGACGGGGAGCTGCTCTTCTGCAGGCCATAGGTGCGTGATTCAAATCCTACATCTTCTCCCCCTTTCGTCGTCACTCATGCCCACTCTCCAGATAGCCCCACTCGCTCAATCACGCCCGACCCTGCACATTGCCTCCAAACTTATGCCCCCTCCACCCCGAAAGCCGTTTTTCCTGCTGCACGCTTCTTCTTCCAGTTTGGCGGGCGAGGTCACCCTCTCCAGCAAGAAGATGTCCCCAAGCTCTTCTGCATCCATTCGCGACGGGCGCTGCTGGTGCAAACGAGTCAGAGGGAGATCTTGAGTGCGTATTTCGAGCTGCCGCCCATTTTTTGTATCTCACGCAGTCTTTTAGCTCCGTTTTTGCCCCACTTCTCTTCTTTCCTCCTCGCGCTGCAAGTCGGACTCCCACCCGTCCCCCTCCCGATTTCCCCGTCTGAGAAGGTACAAAGGATGTCGACTGGTCCGTTTCTAGCCTTCCGCCAGCGAAAATCGACTGACGAGAATATACAGCCCCCGTCTCACAGTCTTTTGGCGTTCTTTTCTCTGGTGCATAGACAGACGATACACAATGAATCGCGGAGGAGGAACGAAAGAGTTGAGCTGGAGGGTGAAGAAGCCGGCCTCAAACCGTCTGCCTCGGGCTCGATGACTGGCCAGCGCTGTTGCCTAATCCCCCCTTCTCCGCTCCTCCCCTTCCGTCTTCACCATCTCCACCAAATATCCCCCTTCCCTTTCCTCCCCGCCTCCCGCGTCCGCGCTCGCCGTCACCAACCGCCATCCGCTCTGCGTCTTCCCTCGGCCCTTCTTCCCAAAATCGGCCAGGTCACGTGCCGCGCCGGCCGTCGCCGACACCCCTCGACACGTCCCAATGACCCAGCACGCCACGTATCGCTTCAGCGAGTGGATCTCGTGGTAACGCACATTTGCCTCGCCTATTATCTCTGGCCAGTCGCTATCTGGGACATTGAGCAGGTAGCCCGTCGTTGGGGACGCGTTCGTCGGCCGGCGTGGACGTGCCTGGAAGGAGGACGGAGGAGGCGGCGGCGGCGGCGGGCACGGTAGGCTGGGTGACTGGGGGTATCGCCGTTGGAAATTTGGAAGAGCTGGCTGCACAGCACCGTTGCGCGCGAGCAAGTCGTTGTACCCGCATTTCTAAATCAGTGGCGGCAAATAACACGACTTGCTATCCATTAACTCCCGCTACTCCTTCTGTCCCATTTCACCTTCTCGCTTTTCAATACCGCTTTCTCTCCCTCCCGAGTAGGGCCACATTCGATTTCCGCGTCGACAACCCACATACATTCTTACTGCACGTACTCGTTTTGGTGCTCCTCACTATATATTGTCTTTACTCCATCCGCTTGTCGCATTCTCTTTCTGAATCCTCCATTGTTGTACAAGCGCTTCGCGAATCCCGTCAGTTACCGTGCCCCTCCCGCGTCCCGGTCCATGGCCTGTTTTCCGCGCTGACACGCACAAAGGGCTCTTGGACACAAGAAGTCCTCAACCCAGATGAGGAGGCTTCTTCAGTTGCGGTCGGAGCAATCGAAGAACGAAGGCCGTTCCGGCCACAGCCTGCATTATCCTTCGCAGGCAGCTCGACGGCACCACACCATAGTTCACCCTCCCTCTCTTGCCCCGTCTTTCGAGCGCGATGGACGCCGAGAACCGGGCCGGGAGGAAACGCGGGCCCGGAATGGGAGGGTGACCATTCCTGTCTGCCTGCTCCAAGGAGAAGCCACACGGACTGGGGGGATGGTGGATAACAGAGAACGTGAAGAGCGAGTTGGCCACTGCTGCAGCCCATACCTCAGCCTCCATTTACACGCGCGTGCTTGCACGCTCTACTCTATCATCACCAATTCGTCATTTCACCTATACAAAGCAGGGAAGGGAATGGATATGAGTCTCCCGATTCGAAGAAGACAGTGACGACCGACCGAGCTCGGAGGACGAAGCTTGGATTGGTACATCCCTCGTTCGATCGCAACTACCCTTCTGACTCTGTCGTTTCGTCAGGCTTCAGTTTTCTGAAGACAAAGTCGAATGGCGCGGACACACCCTAGCGCTTCGACTTCAAGAGCCGCCAGATGGTTAACGCAAGCAGGAACGATACGCCAAAGAACGCACGTTCTTGAGATATCCCCCTCCCCAATGCATTCCGTTCCCGCTCGTTAATGGTTAGCATGCTGGCCTCGAGCCGCGTCGCAAGCGACATGCAACAAGGAAAAGGGCAGCAGTCGGCGAGCTGCTGACCAGTGAGCATCGATACAAATGAGCAGCCGCATCACGCACATTGGTAATTGTCGTGAAATAGAACTCGTGCTTGCGAGCTGTTATGGCGGAATGGATCATCCTTTCAGTTGGCGCCAAAGAGGTCGCACGCACGATTCATAAGGCTCGTTCAAGTTGCCTGAAGGAGGGGAAAGTGGTGGGTGTCGATGATGACGGGGTTGGCGCGGAGGGGCATTGAGTGGACTGGCGGTTGGTACTGATGAGGCGGGGACGAGGGAGGGATGCTCGATCCAGACAAGAGTTCTCGGGGAGTCTGCCCAAGGAGGAAAAGCAGTGAGTGAACGCGACAAGCCACTTAGCCAAGATAGCGCATTGACGCACTTGCACCCCCGCATCGGCCTAACGCGATCTCCAGCCCCTACCATCCATCCTATACCCCCTTCGGTCTGCCAGCATCAAATCCGTGGTAGTCCTGTAGGCGTTTCAAGTCGCAGGCAAAAAGCCAATAAAACTCAGCGGTTAACACATGGCGCAGTTCGCGCGTGGGTCCAAGGCGCATGACGTCTTATTGAATACCACCATATCGATGACAAGGTAGTCCCGCGGGGGAAGAGCTTGCGCTGTCTTGCGGACGATAATCCAGACAGGCGCCGCTGACCCGCAGCGCCTTGCAAGTTTGTAGACCCAGCACCATAGCCCGCCGCCGGGTAGCGCTTGTTGTCGGGGCAATTGCCTTGGATTTGGGGTTGTGCATAGCGAGCGAGGGGTAGCAATACGCTGCCGGGAGAGGTAATTGGGCCCGGTTCCGGATAGCTGTCGCTATCTTCGCCATTAGCAAAGCATTGGAGGGAATACACAAGCACGCACCTTGTGGCCTTCCTTGCCTGCAGATTCGTCGCAGCGCGTGGATATAACAGAGCGTGTTGTCTACCTCCCGCCGAAACGGGATAGACAGCCCTTGTTCCCAAGCCGGTCTGCGACGAACTTGAATCAGCACTTTCGCAGAGGCAGCAGAGATGGCGACGCACCGTCTGCGGGGCACAGCACCCCCCGGACATCTCCACCTCCTTCCTAGCCCTCTATACCCCCGTCCCGTCCACCAACAAAGCGTTCGAATGGTGCACTATCCGCAGAAATCGCGCTCAGCACGCAGGTGGCAAAACAGAAAACTTCAAGGAGTGGACTTACGTGGGGCCTACACGCCGCACTCACATTTGGGAGCGGGACCCCACTCCTGACGACAATGACGAGCTAACGTGGCGCTGGAAGGGGCGTGTGCGCTGGTCGTCATGGTGCGGAGTAAAGATCGGCGAAGTCACATGTCTTCGGGCCGATCTCGCCTCTCTCTTTTATACCACGACCATGCCGCGAACACCTGTCGCCCCGCGCAGTGGCTCTCTCCTCTACGCGCTCCCTCGGGAGGGCTGGAAGATGCTGGGATAGCCTCACGGTGCGTCTGTTTGCCATTTCGTGTCGCTGCTGTGCTGACCGTTCCGCTCAGTACGACTGTACAAGTCTGCTTGCGCTGCGACGCTGGCCGGAATAAGGGTGGGATGGATGGAGTCGAAAGCAGATGACTCAGCCGACTGCGGGCTCGGATCCAGCATCTGCTCAAGCAAAGGAGAGTCGGACGGGGAGGATAATCGAGGAGGGGCTGTCGCGAACAGCGAGAACCAACTTCCCCTCATGCAGGCGGCCATGTCGAGCCAGGTATGCTTCTTACCTTGTTCGCTCAATGCTGACCTTTGTATTGGACAGCATCGCCCGTGAGGCTAGGGAGAGAATCGATGGTGCTAGTCTTTACTCGTGTCGGACTTCCTAGCTTTTTGCTCTCTCAGTTACATCACGCTCCCAATGCCGACTCTGTTCCAAAAATGACACCCGACGACAACGACGTCTGCACAGAGTGTGAAGATGAGGCAGTCATGCGTCAAATCTGGAAACTAAGCGCTCCGTCGCAACCGGAGGATGAATCGAGGGATGGTACGACGGTCGTAACGAGGGACTGAGATTGTCGTCAATTTTTGGGTCAACAACACGCATACATTCCGCGTGTTTTTTCATTTTGCAGAGTCGGTAGGGAGATTCATTCCCGACAAAGAAAGGTGCCTGATTACTTCTGAAGGATCGGCATAACGCTTCTGCAAGCTTGTCGCTTCAACAGTTAACCACCATGCGTCATCTCTCCCCCGTGTGTATTTATATCATCTGGTATGGCGGAATGCTAACAAGTCACTCAGCAACGACTCGTCGCAAGTATGACTATCACAAAGCCTGGGAGGAATCGCCACGCGGCAAGCTTCGAATCTTTGCTCAACGAGCATTAATAGCCCTCTACTGTAGAGGTAAAGCGCACAAGAAGCTTCATGCGGGTGAGCATCATCGGGTTCCCATCTAACTACCACAGCATGTTACCAGCCCTTTGTCGGAAGTATTTCGAGGCAACCAACGGGATCCGCGCCGGCACAGCCCACATCTCATGCTTCCTCTTTCCCTCCTCCTTACTCCTCTGGTGGCAAAGGCAGCCGCACAGCTACCAGGCCCATCCTGGCGGGTTCGTGCCTTCTTTCGCTGGCTGTCATGGCTCACTCCCAACCCACAGAAACCGAGTATCACAACCTCGCTCGAAGACCGGATCAGCGTCGCCCAAGGGGCCATCTCGCGGGCTATCTCGCAGCTGGATAGCACGAACTTTATGTTTCCCGATCCAAGTAAGCTGTTGACCGAGTGCAGACGCTCACCTACAGCGTTGTACAGCCCACTCTTACCCGCGATCCGGCACGCTCTACTCTCAACTCGCGGAGTTCGATCAGCTCACCAACCAGTCGCGGTACGCTGCGGATTTGGGAGGATATTATGGCTCAGCGAAGACGGTGCTCGACAACATGGGAGCAAAGAACTTCTCGGGCTTCAATGTAGTGAGTGTACTCACGCGTTGTTTCTTGGTCTTGTTCCAACTTCAAACTTTCAGCGTCATTCATTAACATCAGGACAATTGCCAGTGATAATGCGGGGACTTGGTTGATTAGCTCAACGATGGCCTGTGTGTAGTCTCTATCTTGTTTGCGACATCTGAACTTGTTATAGGACCTTCGGACACGGGGCTGCTATCGCCTACAAAACCTACAATGTCCCTATCTTTCTTCAGTATGCGAAACAGTCGTGGTGGGCAGCAGTCCCGTACACCCTCACGCAAACAGCGCTTGACGCGGGAAAGATCGCGTCCAAGAGTTTCAACCTCAGCTCGTCATGTCAAGGCAGTATGTGCTTTTCTCCACCGAGGCAACCCCAGCTCATGGTCATTGCACAGTTAGCATGGCTGGCGGGGTATTCTGGGTGCGCTCCCCTTGTGTGTTATGTTTTCATCATGTTGTCTAACATAGCATAGAACAAAGATGTGAACAACTCTGACATCGTCATGATTGCGACAGGGTGCGTATCAGCGAGAACGGGTTTTTTGTGTGTTACTGACGCCTGTTACAGCGCTTTTTTCATGTTCGTCCCTCCATGATCCACCGCACATGCAAAAAATCTCATTTGTCCCTTCCTGCAGCCTTTCGGCCATGCTGGCCGAAGCAACCGCGGACGCAATGTACCTTGCCGCGGCAGTCCAGTCCATGTCATTCATCCGCTCGCATCTGTACAACGACCAAGGTCTCGTTAGGGACGGGATATCTGCTCGCGCCACGGACAACTGTGCGCTGGACAAGGTCGGCCTATTCGCATACGACTCGGGGCCTATGATCGAAGGGCTCGCGGTCTTGTACTCTGTCTCGCAGAACACGACTTATCGCGACATGTCCGTCTTGTGCCTGGTTTCCTCCATTTTCCCCACTGAAGGCATCCAAACAGGCTCGATGAGCTGATAAGCGCCGCTCTCAAGACGAACAGCTGGCAGAATGAAACTGGAATCATCCAGAACGGCGGTGCGTTTCGACTCTGGTGCCCATGAGCATTCAGAAATGACCGTCTTTCAAGTTGGTCACACAGGCGACATGATGATACCTCGCGCGTTGGTGGCCGCATATTCCCGCAATGCAACCAGCCCCTCCCTGAGACCATCCATCCGCGCATACCTAGCTGTCCAGGTGCGTGTGTGTCTCCTTCCAAACCGAGACCTTCACGGAGCATAGTATAACGCCGTCGCGGATCTCGCAACACAGAACAACAGTAATATTTATGGCGCGTATTGGAGTGGACCTGCGGGCACCAAGTTTGACACGGGCTACCAAACCAACGCCATCCAAGCTTTGATAAGCGCCTTTGCGCTTGATGACCCCGCATCTCCGAGCTCAAGTGGCTTCTCCTCACAAGCGCCACCCAGAGCGACCAACTCGATCTCTCCCGGGCCCACCCCGCCTCCCAAAGCCAAGGCGTCTGTCGGCGCTATTGTAGGCGCCATTGTAGGCGGAATCATTGCCCTCTGCTTGCTGGGTCTTCTGCTGCTCCGCTGGAGGCGAAAACGGAGAGATATGCGTCAGCTGACAATGCCTTTCCCCAACTCTGCCCTCGATATCAAAGATGCCTCTGCCGGCGATGGGCATTCGCCTTCCCGCCCCGCCGCTCCCAACCCCAAGCGACGCATTCTGCCCGTTCGAAGAGCTCCCTCGCAGTCCCCAAGTTCCGAGTCATGGGCAGCACCGCCGCCAACCCCGGCCAGCGGCGAGGCTCGCGCCGACTTGCAAGAATTGAGTCCGTGGCCTTTGTCTGTCAAGCAGCGCAGCGTCTCAGTAGTTGCGGTTGGTCGGGGACAGCCGGAGCTGACGACGGAGGAGCTCTTGCGCATGCTCTATAACAGGATGAACGGCGCGAATACCAGCATGCGGGTTGTGGACGAGGAGGCGTTGCCAGAATATCGTACAGCTTAGAATATCGGCGTTGCTTATCAAGGCAAGTTATAACTCAGCTAGGCATTCGGTAGCAGCGGCAAGGTAAAAGAGAAGTCGGAGTCGATGGAGTAAAAGTAACAACAATGAGAGTAGACGCAACTGATGTCGAGAAGGCACGAAGAATGTCGAGAATGTATATAAGATATCGTGGGCGGGAATGAGAGTAGGGTCAACCGGGCGATATGGATACTTATGTACCCCGGAAGCAGCGATGGGCCCAAAACAGCGAAGGACGAACACGGTCCCGAAGCAAGGTCGAAAAGGTCGTAATGCGTGAGGGTACATGCACAGACATCCGTAGATTCAGACTCCCGAGTGGTCCCAGCTTTTCATGTGCCCGTAAAGTCGATTCCTCGAATACATGTGGTCGTTGTCAAAAACGGCGACAACGAGGACGTCCTCACGCGTTTCAGCGCCCGAAAAGAATTGTGTGGCGCGGATTGGATGTAATGCACCACGATATACAGTCTAAGCCAATTCCGGTCTAAGTGTGGTCGCTGTCGAAAACGCCGTTGACGAGGACCTTCTGGACTATCGCGACGCCCAGAAAGAATTGTGTGACACCAACAGTGTGTAATGCACCACTATATCCACTCGATAGAGGCGTAGGTAATGCAGGAGGCGAGCTTCAAAGTCGGATGTGGGCAGCGTGACGGTGACACATGTGACTGGCGAAGGAGGCACCGAAAAGTGTCGGAGAAGCGTGTGTCTACTCCGCAAATGGCGGAAGTAGCAGGAGCTGGCGCTTGCGTAGATGTATGGGAGCGAGAGGCTGTCGTGGAAGGGCTGAGTATAGTATTGGCAGCGTTGCGTGTGTGAGAGGTCATTTGGCGAAAGTGGGCGAAAATGGTGAGGTCTTCGGCATATATGTGCCAAGAAAGACAGTCGGAAGAGTTTAGACAGGGTAGAAGACGTGTTGGGATGATGTGCGGGCGGACACGAACGCAGTTAGGTCGACGTTGTTACAGGCGGGTAGGGTGCTAACGCTTTCCCGCCCGACTGAGCACGAAATTAGTGTACCATTCGCTGCTCGAAGAACGAGAAGACGCACCGATTTGACCCGTTTTATACAGAGCTCCTCTTCACCCTCCCCAGCTCAAGCGGCAACTCGTTTCAGAGTCGTTGTCGTGGGACTTGCGAGAGGCAGCCCAATTCTCGCGGGGTAGGGTTCCTTCCGAGTTGTCGTTGTCCGACGTGGATTGAAGGGCATCTGCAGACAAGAAAACGTTAACAATGAAGAGGACGACAAGAGGATGCTTTGACGCACCAAAAAGACCAGCGACTAGCTAACCAGCCATGCCATGCAAACGAGGTTGTTGTCCTTGAACAGCTTGCGCGTGGTGGTGGTGGTCGATACAGAGCGATGCAGCATCAGGTTCGCTGCCGCTCACTCAGAAACCGGACGACAAACGAGCATAATAGCGCACCAACAAGACCCATATTTCCTTCTTCTTCCCACCATCTCCGCATTTACTCTTTGCCTTCAAAGGTGGGGGCAGCACGCCTTATCACCTAGCGAAGGAAGGTTAGTCGGACTTCCTGCAGTCGGGCGTGAAAACGCACCAAGAGACGCCCGCGCAGACGTCTAGTACGCCAAACACGAAGACGACAGGCGCCAAACAGGTCCGTCCCAACAGCAGTACCTTCCATCGAGCATTGCAGACAACAGTGGCAAGGCGGGTGGGAGTCAAGACTAAGAAGGATTGACGGGTGACGCAACGTGACTCCGGCCCGTCTTTCCTTCCGAGCCTCCACCACCTCGCCTTGCACGCCTCCACACGCTACACGACCTTCGGGACTCGCTGGCACTTTAGGGAGGATCTTATGGCTGGATAATATGTCGTCAAACATCTCGGTGAGCTGAGCGTCCTTGTTGTACTAGTAGTCCCTTTTTCTGACTCTTTCTCGGCAGATGTGCATCCTCTAACTCTTCGTATGGCTCCCAATCAAGATGAGCTCTGTGTCATTCAAGCTTCTGAGCCCCGCGCTGCTCGTACATCCTCACCGCCCCTGCCTATCAACGACGACCTGCGTGAATCGCACAAATCAGTATGCCCCCGCAAAAGTACTCGGGCATTCGGAGAAGGGCGGTGGAGGCGCATATACTAATAAAACAGCAGCTATATCAGGAGGGGCTGTAAGCATCTGTTGTTCCGATTCCGCATTCGCTTTCCGCACCGCTGATACTTGCCCTCTTTTACATATCAGGCTGCGTCGGATATCCCCCCCAACCCCCCGGGCCCTTGAATGGTCATCACCAGCTTGCGCGACAGTGGCGGCACCTCTTTTTGACACTTGCTTCCCCAACCATCTCGTCATTGACGCCGTTTTCGACAACCTGCCGACGAGTACTCCGCTTGATTCGACACCTGGTCGTGCCCCGGCCGCAACTCTCTAGACATCCAAGGAGCCGTTCCGGGACAGAGAGCCACGATGCGATGTGCATTATCATTCACTAACATCTCTGCATACATATTTCGTGCTGAATTGTATCGTAGGTACCGCGATCATGATCGCCACCAAACTCACCTTGCTGAAGCTGGCTTTGTCACCAACTCTCCCCGCCGCAATCATAATCGCACAGCAGGCTTCGCCCTCGAATCTCACCATTCGTGCGCCGACAACCACGGTCCGAGCAGGAGCAACGACGTCGGTTTGCCGAGCAGACCGAGAGCTTCACTGCTCCGAATTTGCTGGGCCCATTGTGGACTTGAAGGTGGAACGACCTGCTATCAAGGACCAGCCGTCAGTGCTGCAGCTCGATGGCAGGTCTTGAAACTATGCCGGCGCCGACGTTCGAGCCTGGCGGTTTGTGAAAGAAATCCAGAGAGTTAGCGGCCTCAAGTGAGTGTGTTATCTCGTGAAGCACAACCTCTCGTTTAATGGCTTCTTCATGAGCAGATATCTCATCTTTATTCCACAACCTCCGAGTCAATAACATGTCATGAATAACTGTACTATGGGCGCTGAGGGGAATATAATCGTAAGGAAGTCCGAGTCAATGATGTATGTATCGATAGCAGCATAACGAAGAGAGCGCAAGTAGACGAAATCAATATCGTAAATACAGTGTTTGAGAATAAGTCAAGGCTGGGCCAACTGGACAGACTTGTCCGGCATGAACCCAGAGAGCAGCGCCCCAAACAACCGCGGACGATGGACACAGTGCCCCAGCGCATTCGAAAACGTTGGAAATCCCGAAGGTACATGCGCAAGCATGGGGAGATATGGATTTCCGAGTGGTCGTGGCTTGCAAGACGGATGTGAAGCTAATGCGGGTGTAAATGGGGTCGTTGTCGAAAACGATGTCAACGAGGACCTCCTCCCCCGTCGCAGCTCCTGAAAAGAATTGGGGGCTTCTATTGGCATCTAATGCACCACTGCATACAGTCGATAGAGGCGCAGGCTTTGCAGAGACAGAGTTGCAAAGTCATTTGTGGGCAGCGTGACGATGACGGCCGTTACTCGGACCTTCGAAAAAGGCACCGAAAAAAGTGTCGTAGAGGCGGCCCACAAATCGCGGGAGTAGCAGGAGCTGGTACTTGTGCAGATGTGGAGTATGGCGTTTGCCACCGTGGGTGGTATTTGCGATAATGGCCCTCGTTTAGCGCAGAATACAGGCTTCCCGCCCGCTGCATGCCAAGAAGGCGCAAGCTTGGCGATAGAGTATGTGCGGGCCGACTTCAAGTTGCCGCTCACGTTGGGTAGATGCTGCCCGCTGTGATGACTCGCAGCAGCAGCGGCCCCACGCGAGAAGTCGCCAATGGGTTGGTTGAGCCACGAACTCCGTGCTGGGCAAGGCAAAGACGGGAAGGAGGAGCTCGGATGGGTGTTGGCGGGGTAGAGGTTGATGATGAAGATAGTGGGGAAATATGACGATTCGCGAGAGGTCTAGCGGGTCCTGCTTCAAACGGAGAAGAAAACGAGCTGAAAACTCTGGTTAGCACTTGACAAGGGACGAGCTGGCAAGGGCCACACACCTCCCGACTCCAATTCCAGATTCCCCCTCTCTTTTCCTCTACACGTGTCGCCGCTCGAAGCATTTGTCCTCGTTCTGTGAGCTGTGCAAGCGCTGAGTGCTTGCACCAGTGTTGTCGCGGCATTCGTTGTCGGTGAGCCAGATTAGCTTGAGAGGACGTCATTTCAGTCGCTTCAAACAGAGAAAGCGGGAGAGACGCGCGCACCGACTCGGATTGCGAGACTGCGCGTCAACACTCGACATCGACATCTTGCTCTTGTCTTCATCGTTGACCGGGAAGACGATGGTTAGTGCCTCGCGTTAGGATCTCGTCGTATAAGCCCGCAGAAGAGTGGGTGCCGTCGTCGAGACCGCCAACTGGCGGGACCATGAAGTCGGGAAGAGAGAAACGCGTGCATGTCACACACCCGCTTCTTGTTTCTCGACCTCGATAATCCCGCCGGCCTCACACTCGTCAAGCCCTCCAACGAGCATGTCGGGTGCTCGCCCTTCTCCACCGAGCACTCGGATCGCTCACCTGATGTCGGCCAACGGAGCAACGTGTGTCTTCGCGCGCATTGGCTTGTATGAATCGCTGACTTCTGGCATAGCGATGGAGAGCTCTATTCTCGCTACCGTGTAGCAACTCGAAAGCACTGATAATGACGACAAGGACTGGGTAGTCTCAGCAAGTTGGGTTAGCCTTCAATCTTGGGGTGGTTCTCAGGGGGGCAGCGGTCGACGAACGGGTATGCATATCGGTGCGCAAAAGTACACACACTCTCTCCTCAGCATCGTTACTGACACTCTCTCCCCACAGGCTGCTTGGTATTACTTTTTGGTCGCAAATAGAGAAGGCTCGGGACCTGTTTTTCTTACCGGTCATGCCCCGAATATCGCTTGCTGTCGAGACAAGAGAGCAGGCCGATCTTAACTACCCATTCACCAAATACTCAAGTTCTGCCTGCTATTAATAGGCATATATACCCCCTCGATAGTCGTTTTACCTCGCGATTCTCCC